GACGCTGCCATGTCGTTTCACTGTCGTATTAGCAAAGCACTTTGACAAGTAACGGTTACTGCGGATTCAATTTCTTTCCAACGGCGTCAGGCGGAATCGCAGAATGGTGGGATGGCTGGAATGTGGGTCATCTCCTATTAAAAAGCCAACTTGGAACAAACGTAGCAGCTGCTGATTGGGTTTGAAATCTAACACTCTTTCTCCTCGTGCTGATAGAACCTTTGCTCAAACTGAACTTTCACAGACCCTAATCGGTACTCATAAGGATTGTGGCTAAAATTGGTTCTGAAAGATGGCAAATGAGCAAGCTATTCTTTCAGGTGGACCAATGTAAGTGCTTTTTGGCAAGAACTGTTTCACGCCTTCCATTTCCTAGGAATTTGAACAGCAATAAGGGTAAACTGATTCACTAGTTGTGGGACAACCTAAAAGTTTAGAAGTTTACGAGAAGACTATCAGTAGCAGGAGTGACTTACATGTACTGCACATTGTAGGGTAGATTTGAACCCGGGCAAGCTCGTCATTTTGACAATTTGATTTTTATGTGGCGAGCCCTTTCCAGGGCTGATTAAAACGTAGCGGACGGGCGAACATGACATACCCATTTTCTAGGGAAGCGGGGTTTCAAACAAGCCAGCATCAAAACATGAGTCTGACGATCGAGAAGCATTGAGCTGAGAAGGCAAGGCCTACCATATGGGGTTTTTTTTTGTAGAGGAAAAATCTTGGAATTGAACAATAGTCAATGTTTTGACGCGTTCCAGAGATGAAGCGCTCAAAATCAACGCAGATAGCGCCAACCGTAGAAGTAATGTCTGCTTGTTAACATCCTATTTTTGTATTTTGCTGCCCATTGACGTCTTCCTGGCCCCATTGCTTGTCCACGATCACCTTATCCTTCTTACCGTAATTTTTGCCCACAACCTGTAGATTCGATTGCTAGCTACCTTTCATGTGAAGAAAAAAGGGAAGGTCCTCTTTCACACGGAGTTCCATTCTAATTGTGAGCAAATGCTGTTACTGTCCTTCACCTCAATTCAGCAGAACTGAGGACCATTCGGATCTCCTTTGTCGTGTTTCTTCGGCGAGAACTTAATTTACAGCTCCATATTCAGGTTAATTCAATAATCTAAACACGCCTTCTCAAGCATTATGGTCAAACGGCCCAGGTTAATTTTTTGCCTTGCTTTTCATAATTTGGTGGTGCTGAGCTGACTGTTGATTGGCTCTCAATGAGCACACGTTTTCCGGCTAGTTTGTCATAGCATCACTTATTGGTTGACCTTTTTTAATCTCGTCTTCTGGTACCTCTCTGGCACTGGGAGCACTTGATTTCTGGCTTTTTTCCTTTTTTGTTTTTCCACTAGCTTTCATAAAGGTTTTCAGCTTAGCTTTTTCATAAAGGAATAGGAATTTATTTGAGCAGATTTTTCGCTGCATTAGGACTAATGCGATTATTATTCATCATATGAGGGCGTGTGTAGTGTCAGATTCCAGTCTCAACTTGGCCCTTTGCTTTTATTAGTTCTTCAGCTTTTACGGATCTTGACGCTCACGCAGAATTTTCCAAAGCCAACACGCTCGATAACAATGCAATAGCCAACGCAAAGCCTCAAAAATGCTCTGAATCGCTGAGGGAGGCCCAACAGAAAATCTGGAATCATTTTGACCCCTCTTAGCTGGCTGTTACGGTGCACGACATTTTCTTCTTCATATGAGGGTGACAGGTTCCACTCTCGACCTGCTTTTGCTTTGGGGTTCGTGGTGACCAACACTTTTTTGAAGTTTGTTAGCTCCTCACCAGGAAAGGCATTCAACTTCCCATGGAACTTTGAGTTGAGACCCAGATATATCGATAGAGCTTCAAACGCTGATTACAAATATGGAAACTAAAACTGCAAAATGAACCTGCCAAGGAAGTTGTGAGCAGTCAAAGTTGGCTGGAAGTAAAGCATTACACTAGCCTCCGGGCTTTCAAAGTCGCCGTGGAGTAGTGGTAGTGCTCTCGGAATTTGCACTCCAACGGGAGGAGAGCTTATGACCTCCAGGGTGAAGAGCGAGGGCACCACCACTGCTCCGCGGCGACTCTGAAAGCCGGAGGCTAGTGTAATGCTTTACTTCCAGCCAACTTTGACTGCTCACAACTTCCTTGGCAGGTTCATTTTGCAGTTTTAGTTTCCATATTTGTAATCAGCGTTTGAAGCTCTATCGATATATCTGGGTCTCATTCAAAGTTCCATGGGAAGTTGAATGCCTTTCCCTGGTTTGGCCAATATTCGTTTCTAATGATAAAATGCCTAGGACCCCTGATTTCCGCCTACCCTGTATTATTTGATCCATCCTATTGATGATCCAATCTTTGCGTTGGGCGCAAATTGCAGAAAAGGCGTGCGTACTTGATTTTGCGCAAAAGTGGGGAGCCTTTCTGAATGGTCCATATTTGAGAAGCCACCCCTCGCTGTCCTGCCCATTTTCGAGGGGCTTACCAAACCCTTCACAGCAGTCAAAACAGAAGGGTGGCCAGGATGTCATAGTTGTATGAAATGGAATCCACTTGATTGAATTGTTTACGAATTGAGGTTTCTATCCTACAAAAGCCGCTCGGAAAGGCGAAATTTCTGTAGGTGGCCCGTGGAAGACCTGAGGCGAACTTGGAAACTTCCTTGCGCATCACAATGAATACCTCCCTCATATCACTCGAGGACTTGCTCTGGTACACATAGTTAGATTGAAATGTGAATTGAAGGACAGAGCTTTCAGTGTTGATCAAATCGGCACTGAACCCCGGACCGTACGGTGGCGCCATTTGTCTTTACACCATCTGTCCGATTGAAATGTATTGTTATATTAGGTTGTCGGAAAGTTCTTGCGTATTTTCTTGTTCACCTTGCAAAATCTTTTGGGATCTTTTTGAAACACTCACTATTAAACGCATGGTTAATGCTCTCTCCACAGCATTTCTGTCGTAGCATTTTGCAGCGTTTGAAGCTCAAAAATCGCCTTTCACTGGAAGGTATGTTCGACTGCTCCTGCCTTTATAAGCCCACAAAATGCGTCGATTGAAGCGAAGCAGTGGGATTCTACGTGTTGTGATGAACCTCCGAACTATCTTTCACAATATGCCAATTATTTGGTTGCCGAGTTCCAGATACTTGAGAAAAAACCACAAATCTGGTCAGCCTGCCATCCTCATTGACGAGTGTATTCTGAATTCGATTGGAGAGAGTGCTTAGTGCAATGCACGGTAATTGGCGGAGCTCTTTCAGTGCTACCAGACCACAATGGACCGTTCCTCAATATCGCCTCTAAAAGAAGTGAAATTATGGCGAAAGGATATTTTGAGATCTGACTGACACAGGCTATTGAGACCATTAAATTTTGCAAGAACATTTTGATTTGCCGCCCGTCTATCGCTTGATCCGCCAACTTTGTTGGTGGTGTCAAGAAGTGGGATCCTCAGATAAACCGCACGCGAAAGCACGACTGGCTCGGATGCGTAAAACAAAGGAATGCAATGCCGATTTGAGAACTGCAATTTGGGAGGCAACATTGAAAGCTCATGAGGCTGCAAATGTTTCGCTCACGGAGAGCTGCTGCCAACGAAGTCCACTGCTATTGGTGAACAATAATGTTAGCAAGTGGATTGGTTTCCCGGCATGGTGCCCGGAAAATCGGAGAAACTTACTTTATGTCGGCAACGCTCGCGAATTACGAAGAAGGTTCAGGAAAAGGTCTCCAAGCTCGTTATAGAATGATCTGACCCACTTACACTTAGTATGTATAACAAACCTGGTAGAGACGGGCTACCATATTCTCTTGAAGATGCTGAATAGGGGCAGTTTGATGCTTCGGGTCTACTCCAAGTCACCCCTCCATAAGGCCGATGTCAGACTTTGCGAATCGCGCGATTCGCTAGCGTCCGCGGTCGCGTTGCGGTACCAGCCAATTGAGTGATTCACTGGCCGCGACGCGACCGCAGACGCTAGCGAATCGCGCGATTCGCAAAGTCTGACATCGGCCTGAGGCTTTTCGCCCAAAGACTCGAGATTTCTGAAGGGCTGTGCCTCAACCTGAAGTTGCCTGCTGAAGAGCAATGTTTCGACGATTATTGTGGTGTATGTATTCAGCAATTGTTGGCTGCACTAAAGAAGAAAAACAATTTTGAAAAAAAGTTGCCAAATGCGCAAAGACAACTTTTCCGACAATCTAATATTATATTCCACTTATTCAGTTCTCACTCGTGGTCACTTTGTGCGACCGATGGTAACCAGAGTTCGAGATGAACCGAACACTGTTGAGTAAAAGTGCATTACGAAGGCATAGCAGCTTGTTCGAAAACCATCGGAGCCGATTTGCAGTGGATTGCTACCGTAACCCAAAGCTTATCATCCGCGGGGATTTGGGGCCCTTATCACGAGAAGGGCGCATTATCAGTTAGATAACCTTTTCTTGATCCACGGCTTTCGTCAGGGAGCTTCAGTATAAAAGGGTGACTACAACTCACTTCACGTCAATCAGTCGGTTCAGGTGCGTTACGCATTCGACTTCCATTCAGACGCGCTAGCGGCATAGCATCATTTCTTTGGGTAGGTTACTACCCAACCCACGACTTAAGCAGTGTTTGATGAGTTAGCCAATGTAAACCCTCTAACTAATCAAATAGTTCAACTCTAGATTTCTAGCACTCTTTTCTAGAGCTGGCCAGTAGAAAGGCTGGTTTGGTTGAACTAACTTGAATAAGATTCAATTTAGTGTTCGATTTTCTATGGTTGTTGATTTTCCATGTGAAACCAGGGTTGGCCAATGTCGAGGCTATGTTGATAGAGTGAGACGGGATAGAATAGCGCCCCTAGAGATGGGGTTAGCGGGTGGATTTGACGGTTGCCTAATATGTTAGGTAGGGGCTAGGATGTGGCTGGGTTTAAGGTTTCATCGGGAGAAATTGCGAAAAGTGATTTTTGAGTTTTCACAGATTTCGGGAGTTCACTAAAATTTTGGCGATGTTCCTGTTGCTGTTCCAGGGAGCCCGCATTCCCCAGACGATTTTTGGGAGTCAGGAATATGTCGTTCCGGGTAAGATGGAAGATGATGAGATAAAGGTCTGAAATGACGGTGACTTGTGGGACTTATGCGGGGTAAGAGGGTAGTCTAGGTGATGCGTGTCTCGCACTGCTTGCCACTGCCTCATCTCAGTCCCATTTTGAACTTAAATGGGTAGCACCTATTGGCGTAATCCGAATTCATCCTTCTTAGGGCGAAATTTTTGGGGCAATTATAATGCCTGTGAAGTTCGAAATTGTTTCCCTAAGCCGCTTCGTTAATTACCGCTTCGCTTAGCACTTGGTGCGTGCTCTAGGGTTGGCGCTGCGGCACCATTTGCAGCACGAATCTGACAGCTAGGTAGAGGAGTTACGCGGAGATCCCAGCAGGCTTTTTTCTGACCTCTTATCCTCCCCCCCCCCCCCCCTTTCCAGTCCCCGTCTTGACCGCTCTGAACCTTGTGCCATGTCCACTCTGTGCGACTGGGCATAAGATGTTCAGATTAAGATTCATTGTGAATAGAAATAACCTCACCAACCGCTTTGACGCAGGCCTAATTAGCGTCAAAATGGCTTGCACCTCGCCCATGTTAACCTAGCATGGCCGAGAACCCAGTTCTGTCCCTGCTAATTATTAATAGTGCAGCTATGGTGACGCGAAAATTGCCATTGTCAACAGCGGTCGGCACCCTCTTGTCGAATCCATGTCTTTGCAGGTCCGCCTTTGTGCAAATGAAAATTCGTAGCGGTTTCTGTCAGGGTCTCGGTTCACTGCGAATTAGCGCCCCGTAAAAATCATGTGCCACCCCAAATAATTAATTGCAATGCCCGGTCCACTGGTGATATATGGGCATCATAAAACAGTAGGTTAAGGTCGAAAAGAATGACTGATGATCATGACCCATTTGGGCGCTTATTGCGAGTAGGAGTCGACATTTGATCTGCTTCTTCTTCGGATTGGGCCATGCATGCAGCTTCGCTGGGGATCGTGGGGGGGGGTTTAAGTCCAGTTTGGCCTATTGTGCGATTATTAGAGGACAGTCAATGCACAATTCAGTGTTATTTTCCTTCCACACGTGTTTGAGGATGCCAGTCGATAGCTGTTACCGAGGGGAGAGATGGGGGGGGGGGCAATTTGATTGTTCTAAGGATGATTGGATCTGGGTTTGACTTCAGATCATGCGACTGGCACAACCATGCGCTGCTATACCCTCCACCAAGACAAGCATAAGCCTAATGTTGAGTGCGAAATGAGCCTATCTATTCGAATCCTATCCAAAATTTTGAAGGATTTGGAGCATGTGCTTGTCCCAGCCACTGATTCGCGAGGGCGCAAGCTTCCTCTCTTTTTAACTCACACCAGTTTGGTCCCTTTCAAGAGGGCGGGAAGGGGGGGGGGGAAGTACAGACACGGTGTTATTGTGTTCATAGCGGTCCCACACGTGAGCAGTAGGGTTCCATAGGCTTGACTAAGCTCACATTTTTAGTGTTAGGGAATATTAAATTTATAGCCGCTTGCTAGGATAGCCTCAACGCAGGTTGATATAGCCCCTTTAGAGTAGAGTTCGGTATCGGCTTCTAGTATGTTCCTTTTTCCTGAATTGTTATTGCATCTATACGGTGTCCAGAAATTCGGTAAAATTTATGGCGACATATAGTTAGGATTCGTTAGTCTATAAATGTTGTATGCAAAATTGGAGGATGCTAAAAATAGGTAGCGAACTTGGCTCCCCCTAAGATTTGATTGAAAGGGAGGAATGAATGTATTGAGTGAAGAAAAAACAAGCTCAATTGCTGCGTCATTCCCTCTTTAAGTCTCGTCTCCTATTTCTCCGCATCTTCTTGTCTGATCCTCTTCGAAGATGCCTAATTTCAAGTGACGTCTGCTTTCAGGCTCAACGTCTTCGCATTCTTGACACATATGAGCATCCGCAACGTGCCCTGGTCGGCACAATTGAGGCCACGATCAAATCAGTGGCGGAAGCCGAAGAGGAGCTCGAACGAGAGCCGGACATCGAACTGCCACG